CTCCTGCTCTTCCGGTCTGCCACTCTGGGCGGGCCTGAGTTGCCCCCCTCACCTAATCCCTTCGGCTGACTGCTCTTTTCTCTGGCTTCCTGGACATTAGAGAGATGCAAATCAAAACAACAATGAGACAAAATCTTGCCCTAGCACTAGCAGCAAAGTTTAACAAGGCAGAAAATAGAAAATGCTGGCAAGAATGAAGACTGGGACTCTCATACACTGCTGGTGGAACTGTAAAATGGTATAACCACTGTGGAAAGCAGTATGGAGATTCCTTAAAAAGTTGGAAATAGAAATACCATTTGACCCAGCCACTCCATTACTAGGTATATATCCTGAAGAAGTGAGAGTCAGGACAAGAACAGATATATGCACACCCATGTTCATCACAGCACTATTTACAGTAGCCAAAAGATGGAAACCACCCATGTGTCCATCATCTGAAGAATGGATAAGCAATTTCTGGTACATACACACAATGGGATACAATGCAACCCTGAAGAATAACATAGAATCTGCAAAACACCGCATAAGGTGGATGAACTTGGAGGACATTATGCTAAGTGAAATAAGTCAATCACAGAAGGACAAATATTGTATTAGTCTGTTATTGTAAAAAAATAAGGGAAGGTTTATTATATATGGAAGGAAATGGTTTATTATATATGGAAGGAAATTTTCTTTGTTGGTTATCAGGGGTGGGAGGGGAGGGGAAGGAACACTGTTAGATAGGTAGAGACAAGTATTGATTTGGGTGAAGAGAAGGGCAATGTACCAAATGTGAGTTATCAGCATGGTGGCACTGAGGAAGAGGAAGACAGAGAGAGGTACATGGGAGGTATAGACAACAAACCCTTTTGTACATTCAGTACAGCAATGTCAGTGAAGGGAAACATTGATCTACGGTGGAGAGATGGGTGGACAGGCAGAAATATTAAGCATGTCTATGCAGGGAGAAATGTGTCCATGACCATGTACAAGGTTAACAGACAACGTTTCTACAAGTGTATCTGTATGTTCTGTAAAAATTGCCAGGTATATGGTAAAGCTGACAAGGGACAAGGTTGTAGTTACTTCTTAGCACAGCCAGCAATCCAGAGGGAGCAAGTAGTTGGACTTGTGGGATTGGGACCATGGTCGCAGGGGAAATCAAGTTCAACTGGCATAACATACTACACAAAACATTTTTCCATATCCTACTGTGGCGAGTAGCAACTGGTATCTTAAAAGCTTGCCAGTGGTTTCTATATGCAACAATGGGTCTTTCCTCATCCAGAGCAAAGAAAATGAAGAAAACTAAAGACTCATGGAAGCAATTAGTCCAAGTGACTGGCACACCATGAGATTCTCATCCTATACGGCTCTTAAGACCAGAAGAACTAGATGGTGCCTGGCTACACTGTCAACCCTTCACAGGGGGATCTATGTAGGAGATCCTGGATAGAGTAGGAGAACAATGTGGAAGAAACATCAAAATCATTTATTAAAAAAAAGAGAACAGGTTTGCTGGTCTGATAGAGGCTGATGGCACCATAGTCTCAGGACTATGGCCCCTAGCTGCCCTTCAGATCTGGAACTGAAATTAGTCCTGTGGTTTCCAGCCAAACAAAAGACAAGCATATCTGAACATTTACATTTAGCAGATATACTCCTTGGTGAGATCAATCATGGGAGAATAGAAGGGCTGTGAATGCACTGGTAGACAGCTTAGGGAGCAGGAGTACATGGGAGCAAAGGACACAGGAAAAGAGGTAACTTGGGAAGGAAGTGGGAGCAGAGCTGTTGCACAGTGGTAATTGCAGTCAATGTCAGGAGACAAAGTATATGTGAGCTGCTGTATGGAAAGTGAATTTGCTCTGTGAACTTTCACCCAAATCACAATAAAAATAATAATAAAAAAAACCCTGAAAACCACATTTTAATGGTGAAGGTAAAAATCATTAAATCTAAGAAAGCTGACAAGGTGACCATGAAAAAAGCACTATGTACCTATTTTTTAGTCAGTCAAAATCCAGAGATACCAACTAATATTTTTGTTCTGAAACACAGCATAGCTTACTGCTGCTCTTAAAAGGAATAAAAGAGGACTTTTACTGAGAGAACATAGATGTTGCCACACTAAGAATGGAGCAGAGATTCTCAGGAGTCCACCTGTCTTTTTAAACTACCCCTCCCCTCAAGTGACTGTACCCCTGGATTGAGCATCACTGTGGTAGTAGTTATGGATACTAGTGGGAATAATATTCTGCCTCTCTTAGTCTAGGGCAAAAGCAAAGGTCAAGAACCACTGCATACAAATATCAAAAGGTTTTATTTATTTATTTAAAATCATCATTTAGTGGCAGTGAAATGCAGTTACTGATAAGATCAAAGATGTACTACTTATCTCGATCTATAAAGAAGTCTACATTTTCTAAAAGTTTTTGACAATTTAAAATTTTCAACAGAAAAGTAATTCCTGTATTCACAGACAGAAGTTACTTTTCCTATCTAGCCTTGAAGTTTTAAAAATTCCTTTCCACATGGAGCACAAAAGAGTTAAGGAGGATAAAGAAATGCATGGTTTCATTATTAAAAGTGAACTATTTCATAACCAATATGGCACTTTATTAAGTGAATTTCAGTTAGACTCTTCTGGATGTCTTTGGCATCATTAAGTAAGCACATACAAAAGATTTTGAGACCATTACGCAAGTATCAACAACAACAGCAACAGTGGGTAGATATTTCTTGAGTATTGACTATGTGCTAGGCATTATGCTTTATATTCTCTCCTTTAATCTCACAATAACCCAAAGTAATCACTAACCTAAGGGTACAATGGTAAGATGGGTGGCAGATCAATATTCAAACTGACAATAAGACTAACTCCAGGGCTTGCATTCTAACCCTTCTCCTTGCTCTTGATCCATCATTAGAAAACATATGCTTTTACCTGTTACATTTAATAATTTACTAATAATACTGAATAGCATTTTGAGTCTAAAGGGAAAAACCTAGTGCTTAATAAGAAGTTATTAAAAATGTTTCTATCTCACTGTGGTGTGGTAAATTACTTAGTGTGGCTTTTCTACCCATAAGTCTTTATAAACTCCAAGGTGGGATTTGCTATGAGCAACTGAGGAGCGCCTGATTGCTGAAGTTGTCCACCTGGAGTATTTCTGTTGGGAGTGGCACAAAACAATGTTCGGGGAGGTTCCCACTCTCTCTCAGGTGCTTAGAGTTCTGATGCTATGATTGGCTAATTTGACCACTCTGCCGAGCTCAAAAGGAGGCCTGCTAGAGGCAGAACTCTCTCTGACTGCTGGTTGAGGAAGACATGCTGCTGAAAGAGACATGGCTGCTGGGAAAGAGATGCAAGAGACATGCATTGCTGAGTAAGACACCGAGGGACATGCACTGCTGTGGGAGAGACTGTGAGAGACTGTTGGCTGAGAGACCCTGGGCTGGGAGAGAGACTGAGCGTTTCTCCTGAACTTGAATTGTAACCTGGTGCTTCCCTAATAAACCTCATAATCTGTGAGTTCTGTGTGGCCACTGCAGCGAATTATCGAAACCAGGAGAAAGATGGTGTTGCTTTGGGAGAAACAGTTGGTCAAAGGGCTGGAGGGAGGCAAAATGTCTGGCCTTGCAGTAATAGGCCTTGGGCTATTGATGGTGATTCTGCCTTCCTCTTGTGGGGTTCTAGGAGGTCAGAATATGTGGCCTCCTTGCCCTTTTAGCACTCACTTTGTTGACTCATTTTAAATGAATACAGGTAAAAACATGATTAGCTTTTTACATACACACCATATCTATTTACCTACCTACCTATCATCTCTACCTGCCTATCTATATACATACACACATAAACACAACAAACAAAAAGCATTATTTACATACTGATTAATTTTCCTGCCATGTCCTTGTTGGACCTTGATTCCTTGGGGTGTTTATAGAGATACATCACTGCTCGTCCAATCCCACTATGTTTCAGAGTTTCCTGGCTCACACTAGGTAGCTGTGGAATAAAAACACAGACATACATATTAATCACTCAGTAGCTGGGAATCCTGCTCATTTATTTTAGAGGATCTCCAAGACTTCTTTCAGGCACAACAGAACTAACAAAAATTTCCATTTTCAGGATCTGCTTTGAACACAAAGACACTTTGTGTTCACATCAAGAATTGAGAGTTCAGTATTACCTCTACGCTGAAGTATTAGTGTAAACCAAACAATGTGAGAAGCTGTGAACTACACATACTTAATGGTTAGCAGTTTAATACAAGAGTCAGGACAGGCCTTAGAATCAAACCAACCTAAGTCTGAATACAAGCACAGCAACTTCCTACCTATGTGACCGTGGACAAGTCATTTAACTTCTTTGAGCCTCAATTTCTACATCTGTGAAATGGAGACATCTATTTTGCAGGTCTGTTATAAGGCATGAATGAACTAATGCATATATAAATCATCTAGTACAGTGCTCGACATATAGGAAGTGACCGTGGACAAGTCATTTAACTTCTTTGAGCCTCAATTTCTACATCTGTGAAATGGAGACATCTATTTTGCAGGTCTGTTATAAGGCATGAATGAACTAATGCATATATAAATCATCTAGTACAGTGCTCGACATATAGGAAGTTCCTCAGGAATTCTTACAGAAGTTAAGTTACTTGCCCAAGGTGTCATATCCACATTAAAGGGGTCCAACTCAAGATTCAACTTTATCTAACTCCAAAGTTGGTATCTTTTCTCCTTTTCAAATGTCTCCTTAGAACATGTCTATTATTGTTTTGTTATTCTCAACCAGACACATGATAGCTACTCCAAGATCTTTTATCTTTAATACTACAGTTACATGAAGTTGTAAGGCCTTTTCTTTTATGCTCATTTTATTAGGTATGCCCCTTTTTCTCCAACTGCTCTTCTTGCAGGCTGTAGCAGAGAGAATGTACAAATGCATGGTAAAATGTAAAGGTTGTGATAATTAATATAAACCATATTAGATCATTAGTGAAGAGCAAAAAACAGATTAACTGCTTCTAACCTCTTGTAGAATCTTCAACAGCTCCTCCCGAATCTTTAGTGCTGGCAAACTCCTATCTGGTAGGGGTGAGAGCCATTCTTTGATGGCAGACATCACACCACTGTCAATAAATGTTTCTTTCAGGTCCTGCCTGCAAAAGTAATATTTAAAAAAATTTTTAAAGTGAGGTCGATGAACAATGGTTCTACTCTATCTAACTCTCACTTTTCTTTCATGTTTAGTCACCTTTACAAAAATTGCTTTTAAGGAGTTACTCATGCAAATTCAATATTTACTGAGTATTCATTCTAGCTTCAAAAGCAGTATGAAAGTTAGTTCCTATTTTCAAGAAGCATACAGACTTGACAGGCAAAGATCACTGATTAAACACTCCCCTGCTAAAATGCAAATTACACAAGATAGGTTAGTGCAGGTATGAATGGTGCAGTCAGTAACAATAATCAGCTCTGATTACTGTAACTAAAATAATTTTCAATCTAGAATAATGATTCTCAAAATTTTCAGGTGGTGGAGAACTCAGAATGATGTTATTCTTTGCAGGACACCAAGGAGAATACCATTTTCCTGGCAGCAAAAGAAAACAAACAACGTAATACTGATATTTTAAATTCCATTTATGGAACTTAATTTATGCTAATTCTAATTATGCTAACAGAAAGCATGAAAAGGCAGTATTTGGAATATGCTACACAAAGTTTCATCTACTGGATACAGGTGGCAGTTTTCTATTCACAAACTTCACAGACCATGTTGTGGACTCACTGATACACTAATGTATTTATTTCTTCAGCCATCAAAATTAGGTTGTAATTTAGTTCAAGGAGAAATCAAAGTTGATACTTCAAAGCTAAAGAATATGAGAAAATGAATGAAAGAAGTTGGTAGCAAGGTCCCATTAAGAAAAGGAGGCCCAATGTCATAATTTGTGATATAAGAAGATCAAAATACTTTAGTTGGTAGCCATACAAACCTTGTAGGTACTTGCTTCCGGTATTTGCTGTTCTCAGTTATACTGAGAAAGCTGAAGCAACTTACCAGAGCCCAAATTGTCTACAAAATCAGTGGTTAACTAAGTTTTTTTTACATTAGTTTGTGGTTTGTTCTGTTTGCATCAGGTACCAAAGATTTAAGAAAAACTTATGAAGAAGAAATCTAATTTAGGAAATTCTATCCACTATTATTTTTCTGTGAATTGACAGAAGGCCATCATTATTTAATTATTTCTAGTACACCAGTGCATACTCGGAATATGCGTTGTAATACTCCATTACAACAACAACAAAAAATTCCAAAAGCAAAATACTTACTTCTTAAGGTGCATAACAACAGTAGGTAACAAGGTTAACTTTTTTAGTGCTGGCTTTTTTTGATTGTTCAATTGCCTGTCTTCCTATCAAAAAGAAAAAAAGGATTTTTTTAAATTAAAAAAACAAAAAAGCAGTAATATTTGTTAATAATAAATTATAACTACTGTAATTCTAAACCTTAAAAATGAAATAAATTAGCAGTTTATCAGAGAAACTACAATTTCTCCTACAAAAAAAGATTAACTAATGAATGGATTTTTTTTCAGAGCTTCAAACTCGAATCTTTGTTGCCCTCATCCAAAAAAACCTAATAGAATGACTGCCTTTAATGACTGTAAGTTAAGAGGAATGGTTTTAATTTAAAATACTGGTGTGATTGCCAAGTTTTCAAAAAGTCCATTCAAGGTACAAATTATAGTCAGGGAAATTTAATTTGCACCTGGAAGAAAGACTTTTTCAGCTGTGAGGTTTACATGATAACGGGCTATACTATCAAAGAAGGGTTACAGTATCCACTTGAGCATTTGTCCATGATTTTTTAATTAAAGACGATTTTAAATATACATAAAAGTAGAATATAGAATAGTGTACCCCTGTTATGTACTCAGCACCAAGTTTCAACCATCAGCCACACATGGCCAGTCTTATTTTAGCTAACTCTAATTACTTTCCTTCCACTCTCGGATCATTTGAAACAAATTCCAGAAACATTGTTATTGAATCCATAGATAATTCAGTAAATGTCTCTAAAAGATTAGGACATGCTTTTTAAGCATAAAGTAATTTTTTTTTTTAAAACAATTTAAGGAGATTAAAAAAAAAATACAAGCAATGAGTTAAATACAGCTCCTTGATAAGAGGCAGGAGAAATACCTATGAGTTTATAACACTTTATAAATGAAGCAACATAAACTATGTCGTAAACTATCAAGACCCAAGAGAGCAAAATCACTCCTCTACTAACAAAGTCACTGACCCAAAGAAATTTATTATACTAAATACATACTTTCACTTTTTTCTAAACATGTAACAAAAAATTAAAATTACTTCCATGCTTAAAATTTAGAAGAGCAAATGTTTCACTGCAAAAATCAAAGTACCTTAAATGTGGTTTAAGCGAGTTAAACTAAAAGAAGAATAAGGAAAAAAAGCCATCCAATCAATTATGTGAGGGAAAGAAAAGATGAATCTAGAAGTGGACACATCAAACCTCAGCGGCTTCATTCATCTTGACGATCATGGCACTCACAACGTCATCTGCATCACTAATAAAGGTGCCTCCATCACGGTTGCGTCTGCGCTTGCCACTCATGCTCTTCTTTCGCTGCAGCATCATCTCAAAATCTGACAGAAAGTCCATACTAAGCAGTAACACAAAAACAAGTTGAAAAGACCCAAATATAAGTTCTCATTTATATATGCTTCCTTTGATCACAATTAAGAACTACCAACTTTATTAATTCTAATGAAATGCTACTTTCTTTTAAAAGTGCAAATACCTGTGTTGTTGTTGGTACTACCAAGTCTTATGTGTGAAAGAACAAAACGTTGCACCATCTCTATGATCATTGCTATGTTTGAACCCACTGTTGTTGCTACTGTGTTCATTAATCTCATTGAGGGATTATTCTTACTGACCCTCTACTTGATCAAATATGATGTCCTTTTCTGATGATGTGCCGAAAGTTAGCATGACTGCCATCCTTGCTTCTACAGAGCATTCTGGCTGTATTTCTTCTAAGACAGATTTGTTCATTCTTCTTGTTGGAAGTGTATTAAATACACTTACTTCTCACTTATTGACTATCTTGTTATCCAATATTTTGCATTTATGATAACAGCAAAAGATTACTACCTGACATTTTGCGCATTAATGACATATATCTTGCAGCAATGAACACTGACATATGAGGTGAGAATAAGGCTGGCTGTGATGGTTAAGGTTATGTGTCAACTTGGCTGGCCCATGATTCTGAGAGGTTTGGCAGTTACGTAATGATGTGATTCGACAGTTATATAACGATGTAGTCATTCCCCATTTTTGCAAAATGCTGATTTTCACATAATGGTCTTTGGAACCTAACCATGTTGATAAGAACAAACATCACAATTCAAATACATCAATCCTCTGTTTTGTTTTCATTGTCTAGCCTTCACATGAATACAAGGTGACTGAAAAGTCCATGGCTTAGGTAAGCCACACTTTAGCCATTAAAGTAGTTTTTTAAAACTTTAAAGGTCTTTGCAGTAGATGTACCCAATGCAATATATCATTTGATATCCTGATTATTACTTCAATGGACACTGATCCCAGTAGAATGAAACTGTTTACAACTTCAATCTTTTGTTTATTTACCATGATGTTGAATACTGGTCCAATTGTGAGGATTTTCATTTTTTTTTTTTTTCACATTCAGGCTGAGTCTTTGACCTTCAAGTTATCTTCACTTTCAGCAAGCAAGGTTGTATCATTTGCATATCACAGGTTGTTAATGAGTCTTGCTCCTATCGAGATGCTCTATTCTTCTTCATATAGTCTAGCTTCTCAGATTATTTACTCAGCATACAGATTGAATAAGTATGTTGAAAACGTACAACCCTGACATACACCCTTCCTGATTTTAATCTGCACAGTATCCCCTTGTTCAGTTCAAACAATGGTCTCTTGGTCTATGTACAGGTTTCTCCATAGCACAAGAGGAACACAAGTGTTCTGGAATTCCCATTCTTCACAATGTTATACATAATTTCTTATGATCCACAGAGCTGAATGCCTTTGCATAGTCAATAAAAAACAGTAGACATCTTTCTGGTGTTCAGCCAAGTTCCATCTGACATCAGCAAAATCCGTCATTCCATATCTTTTTCTGAATCCAGCCTGAATTTCTGGAAGTTCCCTGTCAATATACTGCTGCAACCATTTTTGAATTATCTTCAACAAAATTTTACTTGCATATGATATTAATGATATTGCTCATTAATTTCCATATTCTGTTAGATCACCTTTCTTTGGAATGGGCACAAATATCAATCTCTTCTAGTTGGTTGGCCAGATAGCTGACTTCAAAACTTCTTGTCATAAACAAGTAAGTGCCTCCATTTCAAAAGGTATTCCGTCGATTCCTGGTGCCTTGCTTTCCCCCAATTCCTTCAGTGCACCTTGGACATGCTTAAATACCCCTGGTTCTTGATCATATGCTACACTTCCTGAAACACCTGACTGTTGACCAATTCTTTTTGGGACAGTGACTCTATGTATTCCTTTCACCCTTCGTTTGATGCTTCTTCCATCATTCAGTATTCTGTCCATAAAATCCATCAGTACTGCAACCTGAGGATTGATTCTTTTCTTTAGTTTTTTCAGCTTAAAAAATAAGCACAAACAGTGTTCTGGAATTTCCGTTCTTCACAGTATTACCCATAATTTGTTATGATCCATACAACTGATTTTACTTTGCATAGTTAATGAAACAGAAGTAAACATCTTTTTAGTATTCTCTGCTTTTGGCAAAGATGCATCTGAAACCAGCAATGATTCCTACCTTCCCCATCTGACAGCTAACCAGAAGGCTGGCGGTTCAAACCCACCAGTCACTCCTCAGAAGGAAGATCAGGCAATCTACTTCTGTAGAGATACTGCCTCAGAAACCCAAGGAGGGTTGTTAGGAATTGACTTGACTTCAGGGCAGTGAGTTTCATTTTTTTTTATTTTTTTGGGTCCATCCTCTTCTGAATCTAGCTTTAACTTGCGGAAGTTCTCTGTTGATGTACAGTTGCACTTTCATAGTTACCTTCAGCAAAATTTTGCTAGCATATGATATTTATGATAAACCAAAACGAAACTCACTGCCGTCCAGTCAGATCTGACCCACAGCAACTCCTCCTTGCATTTCCAAGGTGTTATTCACCATGGAAGTAGATTGCCCAATCTTCCTCCAAAGGAGTGACTTCTGGTTGGCAGTCAAATGCCTTAGGGACCACACCACCAGAGCTCCTGATACTAGTAATAGTGCTTGATGATTTCTTCATTTTGTTTGATCACATCTTCTTGGAATAGGCATGCAGTTACCTGGCCATGTAGCCGCCTTCCAAATTTCTTCACATAGGCAAGTAAGTGCTTTCAATGTTGCATCCATTTGATGAAGTATCTCAGTTGGTATTCTGTTAATTCCTGGAGCCTTGTTTTTTGCTAATGCTTTCAAAGTAGCTTGAACTTCCTCCTTCATAATACTTTAGCATCATAATACTTCATTTTGTCTTCTCGAGCGGCCATGTGAAATCTTCTACTCATATCTGTTACTTCATTTTTCTCTTCCCGTTAGCTACTCTCTGCTTAAGAGTAAGTTTCAGAATCACTTGTCATCCATTTTGGTCCTTTCCTTCTTTTTAATGACCTTTTACATTCTTCATGTATGATGGTTTTAATACTTCCTACACTCTTCTGTTCCTTGGTTATTAGTGTATAGTGCATCAAATCTATTCTTGACATGGTTTCACTGTCTAGAGACAATGGAGCAGCTCAATATCAAGATGAAGCCAGGGGCCAACTGCAGAACAGACCATCAATTACTCCTGTGTAAATTCAAGCTAAAGCTGAAGAAAATCATGGTAAGTCCTGGCTCTTGTGAGCCAAAGTACAACGTTGAATACATCCTGCCTGAATTAAAAGAACGGATGATCCTAGACTTTATGGTCAACATCTTTACTACTTTAACTGTTTGACATTAAATGCCACTAGTTTTAGACTTTTCATAGACCATATTCACATGTGCATATACCAGCTTAAGAAGGAACATTTCAAGCTGTCATTCAGGGAACACTGCAGTAATATAATATAAACTAAAATAATAAATTTTAGTTCAGTCTTTTTTGGAATAGGAAGGTGTTCAATTATTTAAATGTTTTTATTTTATACAGCATGAACAGAAAAAAAGAAAAACAGCCTATTTTTAGTGATAAAAATCACAGGTGTCAAACACAATGCACCTGAGATAAAGATGAGACTCTACAGACTTGCTAACAGCCTCAAATCCTTAGCTTCAATCAGAATCACCAGATAACTAATTGTCACTATTACATAAATTCAATTACCAAAGGCACTGCCAAACTCATTCAGCTTAATTTTTGCATGCAACTAGGAATTAATGCCTGAAGGAGTAGTCGCTATGAATCAGAATCTACTTCATGACAGTGAGTTTGGTTTTTGGTTTTATTTAGGAATTAAAGAGGAAACTTTTTTAAAGCAACACTTTTTCAACTGTAAATAGTCACTAACTTACCATTTTGTTTGCATGGGACCTATCAGATTTTTCTTGAAGACACACTCCAACTAGCTTATCAAAAGTGAAATAAAATTAAGTAATATTTTGAAGTTAAGACTTTAGATCTAGCCCACCCCCATCCCTAATGAGCTTTGTCTTCCTCAAAAAAGTCTACTTTTTTGTAGGTTTCTTTTCAAAGAGCTTTCTTAGTGAACCATAAATTAAGAATCTAATGCCATATAAACATAACTTCAAAAATTAAGAAATCTGGACACAGGGCAAATAAAAGGATAACAATACTAAATAATTCAGAGACAGCACTGTATACAGAGAAGTACAAGGGGTGATGTGGAACAGATTCTCTCCTAAACTTAATCAGGAACTAAATAAGAAAAAACAAAGTCTCCACCTTAATTTGAGTTGTCTTTAACAAATTCCTTTTTTAAAAAACAGAAACTTACTGTTTTCCTCTCTTTATGTTATCATCAGAATCTGAATCTTCTGCTTCTTTTACATGTGTTTCACCTTTTTCTTCTTCCAAATCTTCTTGGTTAAAACCCTAAAAATCAGGATAAGTTAGCAAAATTATAACAATCTCTCCAGATTTTCTTTTGTATATTGCTTTTAATTTTCTGCATGTTTTTAAAAGAAATACATTTACTGAAGAAAGCCTAAGATCCATGTTGGATACCATCAAAAGGAATAACCTACGTGTAATTGGAATTCCAGAACAGGAAGAGAATAAAGCCACAGAGAAAACTGTCTAAGGTTTGTTGGAAGAAAGCTTCCCTGATATGATGAAAGATGAGAAAATAACCATTTAGGAACTCCAATGAAACCCCAACAGGATAGAACCCAAAATAAAATCACCAAGACATATCATCATAAAACTCACCAAAATCAAAGACACAGAAAAGTCCTGAAAGTAGCATGAGAAAAACGAAAAGTTACCTATAAAAGGCAGCTAATAAGACTCTGACTTCTCAGCAGAAACCATGCAGGCAAAAAGAAAATGGAATAGTATATATAAAACCGTGAAAGAGAAAAACTTCTAAACAAGAATTATATCAAAAAAAACAAACTCACTGCTGTCAATTTGATGGAGACTCATTAGCAACACCTGCTTGGGTTTCCCAGGTGATATCTCTACAGAAGTAGATTGCCCATCTGGGGAGAGGTTGGTGAGTTTGAACCACTCACATTGTGGTTAGCAGTCAAATAAATGCCTTACGCACTATGCCACCAAAGCTCCTGGCAAAACTGACCCTCAAATATAATGATAAAATTAGGAGATTTCAAGATAAGCAGAAATTAAGGGAATTTGTTAAAACTAGACCAGCCTTGTAAGAGATATTAAAGGGAGTCCTTTGGACAGAGAAGCAATAATAGCAAACAACAACTGACCATACACATGATGACATAACCCAGAAACCAACCCAGTTGTGGAACTATTCAAAGTAAAATAAGCTTACAAGATTGTAAACAGGGAAGCAGAGACATCAATTGGCAAATGAGGACAACGACAACACAAAAAAAGGGAGAATAATATTGTAATTACAGAACTTTTAAATAGTAAGGAAGTAAATTAAACTGAGTTGCAAGATTGAACGGACTGTTCTAAACTGAAGGAGAATATCATAAATCACAGGGTAATGTTAAAGAAAAATGATAAACCTTCACATCACAATAAACAAGAAGACAAACTCAAATATTTATCAAATATTAAAACAGCAGAAACAAAGGAACTGCTAACACAATTCATAAACAAAATGAACTCAGTACAAAAAATTATATGGAACAAAGAAACCAGGAACACCACAAGAGAACACATAACAAAATGATAGCAACCAATTCACACTTATTGATAATTACACTGCATGTTAACGGATTAAAGGCAGCACTCAAGAGATGGAGAGTTGCAGACTGGATAAGAAAACATAACCCATCAATATGCTGTCTACAAGAGACATACCTTAGAGACAAAGACAAAAACAGACTAAAAATCAAAGGATGGAAAAGGATATATCAAGCAAATGGCAACAAAAAGAGAGGAGTGGCAATATTAATTTCTGATAAAACTGACTTTAAGACAAAAATCACCATAAAAGACAGGGAAGAATAATATATAATGAATAAAGGATCAATCAAACCAGAAGACAGAACTATAATAAATATCTAAGGACAAAATTAAAGAGTCTCATATACATAAATCAGACTTTAACAGAATTTAAAAGGCAAATAGATGACTCCACAGTCATAGTAGGAGATTTTAATACACCACTTTCAATCACAGATGGGACTGGAAAGAAACTCAACAAAGACACAAAAGAAGGAAACAATACTACCGACCAACTTGACTGTATAGACATTTACAGAGTATTGCACCCAACAACAGCCCCATATACATTTTTTTCCAGTACACATGGAACATTCTCCAGGACAGGCCATATGTTAGTCCATAAAGCAAGCCTTAATAAATTTAAAAACACTGAAATATTGCAAAGCATTTTCTCAGATCACAATGATATAAAATTACAAATCAACAATAGGAAGATCAACAGAACAACAGCAAACACACGGAAACTGAATAACACCCTCCTTAACAACAACTAGGAGCTCTGGTAGCATAGTGCCTAAGGCACTTGAAGGCTAACCAGAAGGCTGGCAGTTCAAACCCACCAGCCGCTCATTGGAAGGAAGGTTAGGCAATCTACTTCCGTAGTGATACTGCCTCGGAAACCCAAGGAGGAGTGGCTACGAGTCGGGTCCGACTCAACAGCAAACAACAATAACAATAACAATAACAATAACAACAACTGGGTAAGAGAAGAAATAAAACCTAAAATTAAAAAATTCCTTGAATCAAATGAGAATGAAAACACAACATACCAAAATCTTTGGGACACAGCAATAGCAGTGATCAGAAGCTAATTTATAGCAATAAACGTACACATCAAAAAAGAGGTAACAGCCAAAATCAACACCTTAAACCAACATCTCCAACAATCAGAAAAAGAACAAGAAAAGCCTACAGTCACCAGAAGACAGGAAATAATAAAGATTTGAGCAGAAATAAATGAAACAGGAGAGAGAAGATGATAGCAAAAATGAACAAGACAAGAAGTTGGTTTTGAAAAGGTTAACAAAATTGACAAACCACTGGCAAATTTAACAAAGGAAAAGAGGGAGAGAATACAAATAACACAAATAAATGAACTGGGTGACATCAAAAAGAACCAACTGAAATAAAAAAAGATGGTATATCAGGACACTATGAAGAACTATACTTCAAAAAGTCTTAAAGTCGGCCCCAAATCCATTAAATGGGGAAGAGAATGTTTGTTTAATAAATGGTGCTGGCAAAACTGGAGATCCATTTGCAGAAAAATGAAAC